GGTGCTCAAAAATATGCAGGCTACTTTTACGTAAAGTATGCTTTTCAAAACCTTTGAGTTGTATACTGGCCAAGTATATTTAAAGAAGTGTTCCTCACAGTGGGAGTTAAAAGCAAAACAAGACAACTGCGATTTTGATTTTACTGTTTTCCGATCATCTGGCGAATTTCCAAACTGAATTAACACTGGCTGTTGCCCGATCATTACGATCAATCTATCTTTGTCTAACTGGGGAAACCTGGATCACTATACTTTTTGTAACTGTTTGTTTTCAGTATTTATCAATTGTGTCAAAATTAAAAGTTTATTTTTGCCACCATGGTACGACGTGCCTTCGTCACCCACCGACAAGAGTACACATAGGACATGCAAGTTTTTTTACATTACTTCTCCGAACTCTGCATAAATTACTTTATTGTCAAAATCATCGTTGACGCAGAAAATGTTGAACAAATTACCAAACGGAAGGCAACAAAACCACATACAGGAATTTTACTTGGGCAAACAAAGGTCCGAGTCAGTGAAGCGAATCACTCAAGCATATACGATTCCCTCTTTAGACAGTCTACACCGAGTGAGAACATTGAAGCATTTCGGGTCTAATTTGAGTAGAATTTTAAATTAACAACTTGGCATTTCAGCACAAAATGTTGAATTCGTGCATGAGGTAGTTATGGAACGATCAAACTATTATGCGAACATGAAAATACCGCATCATTGCACTTTCCAAACAAACAATGATTAATTCCATGATAGAGTAATCAGCTTATTCTATTCACTTACAGGGTAGTCAAACCTTCTGGAAGTTTCTTGCTGATCATGTATTCCTTTTGAGCCCTGAAAGTTGTCTCAGGTCGCATCGGATATGTTCCATCGCCTCTGAAAACAGCTTCTACATCGGTTGGGTTTTTAATGAAGACCATGGTTCGTCCCATGACCGTCCTCTTAAAAATCGGGCCGTACTTCTCAAAGTTTTCCAGCCGATCCTTTAAAAGTAGATTGAAGTCGGAAGTCGTTTTAATATGATTCAGAACATTCCCAAAATATGGCAATCCTTTCGGACCTGGGAGCTGCTCAAAAGGTCGGACTCCGTCGGGAATATCTCCCTGCGCGTCATTAAATAGATGCCTCAGTAAGTTGAAGAGCTTGCCGAAGGGATTCAACAACCAAATCACGACTGAGAACAGCAAAGCTGTAATTACAAAGTAAAGCGTGTCGTCCATTGCAGAATAATATCAGAAATTGCAGATCTTGAGATGCTAGATCCAAGCACTGATAAGCAAGTAACACGAAAGGGCAGGCGTCGGTTTATTTTAGATCGTGTATTTATTGCTTGACGTGACGAGTTGCTCAAATACTAAATCACGCAGAGAAAACAGTGTGAGTCACACAAGGGGCTCAGTTTTTCAGTGAGTCGGTGAGTCAGTCAGTCAGAAAGTCAGTCTGTGAATCTTACAGATGCAGCATAGTTACAAGATCCCTTTTCATCTCGATTTTACTGCTATTTTCCAGTCTTCGTCAGGTGACAACCTTGAAAGATTATGAGTAGATACCATACATATTTCCGCAGTCTCCTTCGCAGCGTTTTCTCTCGAAATCACGCAACGTTCTCTGAGGATGTTGCGTGACTTCCAATTGTAATTGACTCCCTCGGCCCAATTTCCTAACGCCGCCCCTCGGACGATTGTTGAAGTTACTGTCTTGCATACTGAGGAGATTTTGTAATTGGTCTAACAACTCATACCACCATCTCAATGACTGATTTTTTTTTTTTTTAACCTTTTTTTTTCAGGGCGTCGCGTCGCTGAGGCTGAAATGCATCTTTTGGCAACAAACTGTAAATTTGTTTGATGATATCCGGCCTGCATGAATGTACCATTGTAAGAACCTCGACTTAAAACTTGCCTGGCCCTACCCCGACTCGTCTCAAATCCTGTGGCGCTGATGATGATGGCTAGCTCACAAGCTGTCTGATTTAATTTTCATTGTTTTAACGGATCCTGTTGAAGCTTATTACGAGTTTTCGTTTTCAGCTGGTCCAGCGATTTGATCTGGAATATCACGATGACCCAGTCGAGATGAAGTAGCGACTGTTCTGTTTTCTAGCAGGCCACTGAGGATCAAATTTGTCGACCGTGCGTAACTTTCTATTTAATGCATTCATCCCTGCTGATGAAAATGGGAGAGTTTTATCCAAGTATCGCCGGGATATACCTCATAAAAACGGTTGCATGTAACGAGAGTTTTTTGTTTTTTTGTTTCTTTTTTTTTCTTTAAAACAAGCCACACTTATCGTTGGCTTAAAAAAAAAAAAAAGGCAAAAAAAAAATCTTGAATAAGGGGGGTAAGTTTCTAAAGAAACTATGATGCTGCGTCGGTGGGGGTAACAAGGTAATTTGGTAATATCAACTAAGTTGAAATTGTAAATTGGCCACCGTAAAGCGAATGGAGGAATTCGCTCTGACGAAGGGCGAACCCTCGAAACTTCAGCTTTTCAACTCTTTACGGCGGCCAATTTACAATTTCAGCTTAGTTGATATTACCAATAAAACTTGATCGCAGAAAGGGGGAGGGGGTCGGGGGTAGGATCAGGGGGAATGTAGAGAGGATCAGGAGGAATGGAGAGAGGATTAGGGGGAATGGAGAGAGGATCAGAGGGAATGTAGAGAGGATCAGGGGGAATGGAGAGAGGATCAGGGGGAATGGAGAGAGGATCAGGGGGAATGGAAAGAGGATCAGGGGGACTGTAGAGAGGATCAGGGGGAATGGAGAGAGGATCAGGGGGAATGGAGAGAGGATCAGGGGGGAATGGAAAGAGGATCAGGGGCGATTGGAGGGAGGATCAGTCGTCGCCAAACGAGTATAAAGGCAATTAGGAGGAATCACAAGAATAAAACAGCCTTCAAGTATTTCAAAAACAGGACCGTACCTATCAAACGAGGAAATTCAGTTAGGGTCAGATACAGTAAAAACCCGCAAGTAAGAACCTAAAAATTAAGAGCCTGTTAGCCTGAAAAATTTGCCATTTCTACCCCCTATAAACAAGAACCTATCTAGCCTAAGAAAACTAAAATAGGTTCTTATTTTCTAAAATCATATAGTACATTACGGGTACACTGAAATTATTTACTGAAATAGATGTAAATATACAAATTTATATTATTTCCCTTTTTGTGGGAGGGGGTGGGGTAGGGGTGGTGTGGTGAATAAAATTAAAATATAGGACAATTACCAACTTTTTATGCAGGTGTGTTTTTCTCCAAGAATAAGAACCTATTTTAAGAACCTAAATAGCCTAAAATTTTGTTAAGTACCATTTATATAAGAACCTGTTTAGGCTAACTCCTAAAAATGTAGGTTTTTACTTGCGGGTTTTTACTGTAAATCATACCGGCATAATTTTGGTCTAAGTATCAATCATGATGGTGGGATAGTGACTAAGCTTCTAAAAAATATCCCTTGATGTTTAACAAGAGATAAGCTCGGTATCCTGGGTAATGTCAATAGAGAGCATGCTTTTGTAGTTTGCACTAAAAGAATTTGACCAGTGAAATGTGGTGCTGAGCTGAACTTCGGTAAGCCTTTTGTTCATAGCAAACTTTACCTGTTTGTGTTTAGAATGGGAGGAAGGGTCGTTCTGAAAAGCCATTATTTCGAATTATTAAATAGAACACAATGGAAGTTTTTAGCATAATTCTAGGTATTATACATACAAGGTTATCCGATGGGGGCTTGAGGCTAAAAATTATCATACAAGAAAGTAGTTCCCAACTAAAGTACGTCAATCGGTGACCGAGACTTCCCAACGTCAAGTGGTAATGCCATCCATGATCTAGCGGAAGGGACTGAAAACAACCTCTTGCTATATGACTTGGCTTTGGGACCACTACCAAATTCTGCCCAGCAGATCTCAGCATGTGTCTAGGTTTAAACTAAGAAGAGAAGTTCTGTTGCCTGTTCATCGTCTTTATCACAGTGGTTCCATATCATGAGAGTCTTTTGTAGGTAAAATAGGTCAGAATTTAGTCGAGACATAGGGAACTTTTCGAAAAAGAGTGATGCCCGCAAAGAGAGATCTTACCTCGCAGTCTCCGTTTGCAGAGTTTCCTCGGAAGGTTACGTAATGTACTCTTAAAAGCGTTGCGTGACTTCGAACGGTTTGTGACCTCCTTGCCTCGCCCCAATTCCTTAGAGCCTCTTGTACGATTGAGCAAGTCACCATTTTGCTGACTGTGGTGAAATATTCTTGTCTTTGCGAAATGGACGACTCTATGTACTTGGTTTTTTCGGCACTTTTGGCGTCAGTTATTGTTTGGCTTTTAAATCCATTTCAAAGACTCCACAAGTTATGGAGTTATTCCACAGGAGACAGTCGTGTGCGAGCTAATCTTCCAGATGAAGTACGCTCGTTCGACGAGATGCCTGGCCCAAAGGGATGGCCTATCATAGGTGACATGCTAAGCTTTCTGCGAAAATCTGAGTTCAAAGATATTGTGGCTGAGCTAAAGGACTCGTTTGCTAAGTACGGTCCTGTTTTCAAAAGGAATCTAATGGGAAAAGCAGTGGTTTACGTAAAAGACCCCAAGGACATCGAGGTTGTCATCAAAGCGGATGGAAAACATCCCATGCGACCTTCATCTGGGGTAAGCACGGCGGTGAATCGGTACAGGAAAAGCAGAAAACTCCCAAACGGGCTATTTGGATTGTAAGTACGAAGAAATTTGTGAGTTTATTAATAAAACACATCGGTTCGGAGCAGGTAGCTAATGGATGCTTCGGCCTCCCACCACCCCGCGGGGGTGCTGTGGCCTCCCACCCCCCCATGGTCGTGCTACAGCCTCCCACCTCCCCACGGGGGGAAGTTGGGGGCTCTGCCTCACAATGTTTCAGTGCTGACTAGATTGCTAGCATAGCACAAAATAAGTCTGCAAATTTGTCAGTCTCCTCATCTTTTGAACTCATTTCATCTGGATTGTGCTTGGCAAAATTCCATATGGTGCGAGTGTTTTAATTTTAGCAGCTCCATCCTGTGTGTAATTAAGAAGACAATCAGCCTCTTGACTTAAGACAGAAGTGGTTTAAATTTTCTATTGATGCAAGGACATGTTGGTATTTGTATATAGTATTTGTGGGAATCCCACTTTTTTTTTTTTTCTTAGTTTGACACATGCAGAGTAAGCTATGCATTTCTGTAAATGAAAAATAATAAATACAAATCCAAAGAGAAAAACATTTGCTCATTTGTCTAAATATGATTGGAATACTTCTTCATGAATGCCTGCAACAAGGAAACAAAGTAACAAAAATGCTTAACCCAAAATACTACATCAGTAGGAACTTTGCAATAGGTTGGAGTTGACATTATTCACCTGCTGAACCAGAAGAAATGCAATGGAAGATCAAGGTTTGCAGTGTGGCAGAAAATTGCAAGGTTCCTTCCTAACAAAACTAGAATGAAAAGCTCTGTCAAAGGAAAATTTATGACTGGGCAAAAAATTATCCTTGTTTGCTGATGACACTGAAAAGAAGTTTTAGGAACTATGAACTCTTTACACCTTAACACTTCCAAAAGTTGTTCACTAGGGGAATTTTTTTAACAATCTAGAGCTTTTTTAGATGGTGATCCTTTCCTTTATTGCCTATTTGATCATATGTAAATGGCATTTGGGCATTACAAATATGAAACTATTATTATTTATTCTTGTGACCTTAATGTGTGAATCAGAGATGATATCTCACCTTGGATAGACAATATCCCTTCAAGTGCCAAAGGTGTTTTTGTAACATGAAGGATTGCTGTAAATTTTATAATATTGTTGGCATACGATATTAACAAATCATTATTAACAAACCATGTCATAATCAAGTTGAAACAAATTACCAGTAACCTAAAAAAATTATTTTCATTAGCTGATGATGGAACAAATCCACAGCCTAAGATATAAAATTCCTCCTTGAAAAATGTCAAAGTTCCTATCTCAGGTCCAGACTCCTTGTCAAATTCTAATGGGGTGGGGAGGGTTATTGGTTGAAATACCCCACTACACCCAGGGTCCCCTCCTCAGGCATAATTTTCATAGGTGCATAGCCAGATTATTTTGAAGCTTGCTTAGCTTCTTTGGACCTGGAAATCTTGGTCTATGGGCCATTAGAGACTCAGTTAGGTTTGATTGTAACAGTTTAAGACTCATTTATGTCTATTATGCTAAGTACACAATCTGAATTTACAGTCTTAGGTATAAATACTGTAAATGCTTGAATTAGCACCTGGGGCACTTATTAATTTTTCTAAGGCGAGAGGGGGGGGCGCTTATTTCAAGGGAGGCACTTATTTCGTTTATCAATTTTTAGTCTCAAAATGACACTACCTTTATGTCTATTTACAACCAAACTGCAACATAAAAATTCAAAAACCTTTTAAAAAACTACTTTTTGAGAACTCAAAATAAGAAATAAAGAAGCAGTGAGAAGCAAACCTGTGCAACTTTGAACAGACATTACTGTTTATACTATTTAACAATGTGACATTTCATTAAAAGAACCATACAGACCGTATACATCTCGTATATCATACCGAGTACCAAAACTCATTTTTTCTCGGGGGATGGGGGGGAGGGTGCTTATTACAAATTTTGAACCTTGGGAGGGGTGCTAATTCAAAGCCGGGCGCTTATTTAAAGCTGGGCATTAATTCGAGCATTTACAGTATATGGAGGGTAAAAATTAACCTTAAGCTTTTAACTCTCACGAGTGACCAAGACAGAATTTCTCCTCACAATATCGATACAATATCAAGCAGACAAGTGATGAGAATATAGGAAAATATCAGTAAGGAGATTATTAGTTGATCCAGTGCAAAATTCTCCCAATTAACTTAGGAATTGTGTTTTAGGCAGTATAGCAAGAATCACTCAAATGAGATTTTGGTATAATATAGTCTGATGGTTATTTAAATTTTGTGATTTCGATTTAATATGTGAGCAGTCTGGTCTGAAACTTTATAACTGATTAACAATTAACACACTGTGTGATTACTGCCAATGTGAAGTTACACAATGCATGCCTCTATAAATCCAGCGTCAAAAAAATTAAAAAAAAAAATGTAATTTTGAAACTGATCATGGGTAATATAATTTGATTTCATACTTACTATGAGGCATGGAGGCAGCGTGGCCGAGTGGTCAGCGTGTTGGACTCGCAATCCGTCGCTCCCGGGTTCGCAATCCGTCGTTCCCGGGTTCGGGTAGAGAAACAAATTCACTACCTGAATTTGTTTCGCGGTAGCTCCGAGTTCAAATCCTCTGCCATGCTTGTAAATAGCTGACTGGTGTGCCTCCGGCCAGTTGGGATTATTAACAATGTTATGTTCAATTTGAATTATTTGTTTATAGCCCACAATGTAAACCACTGGGTTACCAGTAATTGTGTTAGCTATTAAAGTTAATTTTTTTTTGTTTGTTTTTATTAGTGCTAAAATCACGAGAAATATACGGGACACCAATAAAGAGTATATAGATATTTGGAGTGGTAAAGAACGATCATCTTCAGAAGACAAGATGTGTTCTTTCACTAAGTTTTGGTTCATTATATTATAGCAAGTATCCACAATTTTTATGGCTGTAAAACAATTAAATATCGATTACCAGCAAAATGAACATTCGATAAAAAATGAGAGCGTCTAGTTCGATCATCATTGTGGATCACGTGCAAGGTGATCGTAGAATGGATCCTCAGAGAAAACCTGCATCCTTAATTGTTGATCTGTCCGATTTGGCTGGTCTAAAGCGTTTGACAAATTTTTTAACTGTAGAAGTAATTTTAGAACCAGTTTTTTTAGTCGGGACTCGCTGATTCTACGATGCTCAAGCTTCTTGGGTAAAATTTCATGATTGGCAGACAGTTTTAGGTGTCCTAACTTGCAGAATCTAAAAAGGCTCAAATTTGACTAGGTTATTTCTTGTTCTATCACAGGAACGGCGAGGAATGGAACAGAGTTCGCAAGGCTTTAGCGTCAAAAATGCTTCGACCGAAAGACATTCGAGATAACCTGGAAAATTTTAATGGAGTTACAAGGGATGCTATAGAACATATGGTGTCAGTGCGGGATGCAGATGACATAATTCCGAATCTCGAGGAGGAACTCGCCAAGTGGGCGACAGAATGTAAGTAAACGGTTTCATGAGAATTTGAATAGATCCATCATGGCTGTGACCTCAGTGAATGGGATGCATCACTGATGCGAGTTTTACGGTAGGCAGTACAACTTCCTTTCAAAAATAACCCCAGCGGACCCCCTAGGGAAGTAAATACCAATGGGAGAAATCAAAACCCTTTGGATATAGGGGTAAATTACAGCACGTTTGTTAAAGAAGGATTTCTTGAAACACCACTCTTTTTCCCGGACCTCCCGTGGTTTTGCCGCTGAGGACTGCAGGCTTGGGTACTCTTTTTTTCCGTGTAGCGTCGTGTTGCTTCCGTTATGTTTTGAACTCGTAATAAATTACTTTCTTTGATGACTTCTTTCTGGTTATTCAACTGTTCTGGTATCGAGAACAATGCCTACATGGTGTTTCTTCCTCCGCAGATTTTAGTTCGAGCTGGAAATCTAAAGTCTGAGGAGTTAACATGTCGTACGCCCAGGGTTTATAGGTCTGGGCTAAGCGTAGCGAAATTCGTTTACTGGTAGTCCTGGGTACCACTCTTCAACCACAGTTTTTAAAAGCCAACGTGTTTCTCTCCTATATTTACCATCTGGCGATCTAAAAAGTTAGCTGATTGCAGTCCCTGTAGACTAACTAGCCTTTCCAATATAAATTTCAAATTTATCACCTTTTTTACTGCAGAAGCAAGATTATTTTCAACCTTGGTTCCGGAAAAATATGGGTCTTGAAAATATTGTCTCGTATAAGTTTCCCCTAACAAACTTGGCACCAGTAGAATTTGGCCAGATACCCACATCATGCGTTGTAAATGACACATCAGCGCATGCGCAAATCTTGTTTTGCTGTTTTAGCTGTGGGTACATTGGCATTCGATGTAAGAGTTGGCCTTTACGATGACCCACCCAACAAGGAGACAGTGAAGATGATCAAGTCGAGCTCAGACGCCTTTTCCCTGATGGGAAAACTGAATAGAGGATGGGAAAGTTTCATCCTCCACTTCATGACGACACCCACTTACTTGAAATTTTGTAAAGCTCAAGACACCTCCATAGGTATTGGTCAGAGCATAGTGGACCAAAAGATTATGGAATTGAAGAAAGCGGCCGGAGACGATGAAGCTTTTTGCAAGGATCAGGGTTAGTAAAACTTGTTACGAAATGTATATCTGTAGTGGCCTGACCAGTGCAGATCAATTCTCTGGCAGTCTTGCTCGGACTGCCCAGAACTCGGTGAACCAAATTAAAACTGCTCTGCTTTTGTTTGTAATTAGCCGCTTTTTCAGGTGGGTAGAAAGCGGAGCGCTCATTGGACAGTAGTGGCGTTCTTTAGAGTAAATAGGATCCCAAGTTCCAACACCCTATTCCAGCGTCTCTCTGGCTCACGTTTTAGTCTCGCATTGTACTGCCTTTTCGAAATGCTTGTACTTTATGGGATTTCCTTT